CATCCCTCACCTAATCAAACAGTGCTTCTTGGCAGGGCTAACAGCTGGACAGCTGGAAATGGGGTTTCCCACTTCAGGAAAACCTGCCCTGTCAGTGGGATGCATTGAAAGACCCTAACTTTAAATTGTTGGAGGGAGGAGAATGAGCAAAACAAAAATTCAGACGTTCTCCCTGGGCATGATCTGCCACGACACTGCAGGGTGACTGGCTGCTTTGTGAGGAAGCTGCTTTGGGCAGAGTGTGTCTGTGTGTCTAATGGGAGGCTAGCTTCGGCCTTAGCTGGGGAAAGAAGGCCTGTGCCATAAGCCGCAGCTCTCCCACTACCAGACAGGCAACCTCTTCTCGTGCCTCTTTAACGTCCTTCTCCTCCCCCCTCTCTGAAAGGCACTAGTGAGGGGTTCGCTGAGTAACACACAGGAAGGCTATTCAACAGCTGTGGGGTTTTTCTTCTTTCAAAGCACCAGGTAACCCTTCCACACTGCAGCACTGACCAGTAGCAGGCTTGGTTGTTAGGGTCACAGCCTTCAGCTGTGTGCTGTGAGGGGCTGGAGCAACGCCAGAGACTTTCCTCTTCCCTGGAAGCTCAGTGTGGTTAGTCTCTTTTCAAAAGCAAACTTTGAATGGGGGCTGAGGGACGGATTTGCACACCCGCCGCTCCGCCGTGGTTGGACGAACCGAACCGGCTGGAGCGCTGGGACGAGATCCCGAGGGTAGAAAGGCTGGACTGCAGAGAGAGGAACCAATTCTGCTCCAGTGATAAAGTAGCTGAGGGGGGAGGCTCAGCACCGGCTTCTGAGCTGGGGGGTTGTAAACACGGAAACCTGGGGCTCCTAGTGCCCCGCTGACCACAGGGACAGGAAATCTCCCTCTCCGTGTTCTCAGTCATGTTCGTTTTGTGGTCTGAGCGTATGCTGGTTCAGCAGTTGGGAAATCCGAAGTAAGGAAGTGAGTTTGCTGCTTGAACTTCTCCTCTGTAGTCTGCTCTGGCTTCAGTCAGCCACAGCTGTACTGAAACTCATTGCTACACTCCCCAGCTCCCTGGGGGCACGTGGACTATCAGAATGATACTGCTGGGGGGTCCTGCTGGGAGAGGGGCTCTGGCGGACACAGCCCCGCCTTGCTCAGTGGGACTCGAAGGACCATCTGCATGGCAAGCGGTTGTGTGCCAGGGACCTGTTTGCTGTTGTAGGCTGATGTTGGTTAATGGGTGGCTCGGTTTGGGAGAGTAGCCAGGAGGGAGCAGGGCTGCGTTGCTGCTCGGACAGGGTTAATTCACCGAGGCGGAATGGAGGGGGCTGCCCTGCGTAGGGGCTCTTGCCACCCCCAGACCTAGCCGTGCTTACCCCTGTAAATGGGCTCTACAGGGGACCCTGACAATGCTGGAGCTCCATAGCTGGAGCAGTCATGGTGGAAGGGCCCATCTCCGGAAGACGGCTCTTCTGAAACGCCTGTTACTATTGACTTCCACCTGTCTGCATACAGGGCTAAGCCTGGGGGGAGCTCCACCAACAAAGCTAGGGTTTGCTAATTCACAGCCCCTGTGGCCAGACCCCAGCCCTTCACTACCCCACTTCCACTCACCTGAGTCACCCACCACGGCACCACGTTCCCCGGGGGAGGGGTGGAACGGCAAGAGTGGACGATAAAGACGCCTGGGGGCACAGGTGGGTTGTAACTACACAAGGGGCCCTTGGGCAGGGTAAATAACTCTCTAAGCTTGGAAAGGATCATGGCTGGTCTGAAAACATTTTGGGCTTCCTGACAGTTGGGAGTCACTGAACCATTATTTCAAGATCTCTTGTTCTTAAGGACGATCCCAGTATTTCTCCCCCCTCCTGCCCCTAAACACAGCAGACACCCGCAGTGTCTTGGATCATTCGTGTTGCAGGCCTTAGTGTTTTCCCATCATTATTCCCAGCACGCGTTCTTCCTTCTGGAAAGCTCAGTCCCACCTCACAGACCCATCCAATGGTTGCTACCCTAGACTTATGCTCCTGAGTCCTCCTGTAGTCTGCTTGCTACTGCCTGCAGGACCCGGTCTCTGCAGTTCTCGCATCCCCCTTGCAAGCTGTAGGAGCCCTGAAGGTCAGCCACAGACTCATGGGAATCACTTGGAAAGTTTCCACACACTGTGTCTGCATCATGTTATTTCTCTCCCAGCTGTATGGAATTGGAATCTGTGGATGTCTGGTTGAATTGCTTCACGGCAGCGGATTAGCCTGGCATGAGAAGTGGGGAAACACACCGCATGCCAGGGGCTTATGTCACCAGGTCCTATTGCTTCCTCCCTCTTCAGTTCAGTGCAATCTCCTGACAAAACCCCCTCCTTCTCCACCTGATGCTGCTCAGGGTCCTGGCCCTGCTTTTTGACTCTTCTGCTGCAAGGGATGGACCTTTGTCACCCTCCAAACAATGAGCTTCATCTCAAACAGAAGTAGGCTTCAGCCAATGGTAGTTGTACTGAGAACCTGTTTTGGGCTTCAGCAGTGAGCTACCATCAGCACAAGCTATGGGGTCTTTTACAAGAGGCCCAGCAGGTCTAACCATGGGCAGATGGTTACGGGACCTTGTCTGAGATCCAGACATCTAAGCCACAGAAAGCTAAACTAAGAAAGAGGAACAAATACTCACTTAATTTAGCAGGCTGGCTTTCGACACAGGTTTTAACTGCTTCTGTTAGCATTATTTGATGCTCTGCTATGGACTGAGCAGGGTGGTGAAGAGCTGGGTTTTTAAACAGACTTGTTTAAAAACCCAGCTCTTCACCACCCTGCGGCTTAGTCTGCCCATCTGCTCCATGGGGATCACATTGCCCTGCCTTGCAGAGGGGCCGCGAGGCTGCACTGTGAAGCCCCTGGAGCTTCTTGGATAGACAATGCTTTAGACGTACAAAGCAGCTGTGCTCAGCCCTGCAAATTCTTCTCCCCGACACCACCAAGCGAGGGACGGAGTAAAACTGGGCAGTACATAGAGATGGGGAAAAGGGTCTGAGAACATGAATGACTCAGATTTGCCTCCCCGCTCCCCCAGGGTATCTAACCCAGGAAGGGTATTCTGGCTTCCCTGTGGCAGGGGGCCCTGAGCACTGCAGCTGGCACCGACACACAAGCAAGACAGAACTTTGAACTTTTTATTACAAAAATATCCTGCAAGCAAAACAAAACAAAACAAAAATATGTTGCAATCTGTACAAGTGGTCACCTTGTTGGTTTTGAAACATCCTGTCTAGATCTCCTGGCTTCCCCTTCCTCCTCCCCTGCTCCCGGCAGGATCAAGCAGCTAGAATATAATCTGGTTTCCAACACATTTTAGTGCTAGATTATTTCTCCCTCGTCCGCCCTCCTTCCAAGGAATGGTACCATAAGTCCCATGTGTTCCCTTTAATCCTGCTGAGGAAAGGAGGGCAGTGAAAGGGCATTCGGCCATCACACTAACTGGGCAAGGGGGCCACATTCAGGCCTGGCGTAAACAGGTATAATCCACTGCCTGGAGTGCCAGCTGCCTAGCCCAGCTCTTCTTGGCCCTGCGAATCTTGAAACCTGAATCCTAGGGATAAGGTGAAAATTGAAACTCTGCATGATCTGCAACCTCCCATGTAGAAAATCAGGAAGACGGCTGCTTCTGAAATGCCACTTGTGGCTGCATTTCAGCTTCGTTTGCCACTTTTCTTTGCTAGGCCGGTAAGTCTACCCGGCAGTGGGGAAGGCCGAGAAGTCAGAAATCCGCACCCCTCCCCGCAGCGCTGATAGAGGGTTACTTGCTTACCGAGACTTCACTTGACAGGGTTGGGGATTATCACACTGACTCTGACACTTAGTTTTGCACGTCTCATCCTAGTGATGAACACACAGCACTTCACCCATGGACGACACACAAGCATTGGCTTTTAGCTCTAAAGATTAACAGTTACATGTCAAACAGTCAAAACATGGTGACGTTGTTCTCCGGGGGATGCCCTCCCCTGTGCATCAAGGCTTTCTTCTTCCTTCCAGGCACTGGGGCCGGGAGTGCTGGATGACCTGGCCTGCAGGAAGTGCTGAAAGGCAGCATAGCCCTGGGAGTAGCCTGTGCTCTGGCAGTAGAGGTTGGCTAGCCTCTTCCCCCACCCCGGCTAGCACAAGCTTCTGTAGGAAGCCCGTTAGTCCCAGTCTCATGAGGATAAGCTCTGTGGTTGGCAATGAGGATGCTCTGTACCAGGGGAACACAGGCCTGGGAGCGGTGGTGCCTAGTAGCTCACGACTAGTGTAGCTTGTGATTGGCTCCAGGGTCGGATCAAGAATCTCCGCTCTGCCCAGGGAGCTCCGCAGGCTGCGTTCCCCAGCCTAAGGTGCTCTGGTGCTGAGAAACGGCCTCACTTTGTGATCTGATTGCAGAGCATGAGACACACAGCCTGGTGCTCAACCCTCAAGGGCACGAGGGGGTCACTGGTCTTAACATACTGCCCCAAGGATGGGATGATTGGGGAGGGGGAACCTCAGGTGGAAACTTAAGGAATTACTTACGACACACTTAGTTTGGAGGAAAAGCTGTGCCTAAAATGAGCAGTCTCGTTCAGACGCGGGTTCTGGAACAGGAGGCGGGAGGAAGTCTGAGCGGAAGAGGGAGTAGTCGCTCCGGATCAAACAGTGTCTGCTCTTCACAGAGGGACTCCATCAGGCAAGCTAGTTGGCCTATGTTGCCTTGAGAACAGCAGTCCAGAGCCTGCTGCCAGACAGCTCTCTGCCACTAAGTTATCTCCCAAAATGGCCTCCTCTCCTTTAGGTGGTTGATCTGAGGCAGCCTGGCTGGTTCTTCAGTGCACACGATGTCCTAAATTGGCTGCAGAGAAACTCAGGTGTTCACTAGACTGACACAGCCCTTGTCTGGAGAGGTTACGAGGTGGACTAGGCCACTGCACCAGCGAAGCACTGAAAACAGTCTGTCTGCTTAACACGTGTGAAAGCAAACTCGGTGCACCGAGCGAAGGACCTCTCCAGTCTGGTGACAAATCACCAGGGGAGGGGGGGGGGGAATAGCAGAGATACTGGTCCAGAAATAAAGCTGCACTGTGTGAGGGTCTGAGTTCAGTCTGGGCCTCTCCGGGCCGGGTGTGGAAGTTGGTATTCACTCAAGTGAGGACACAGTGGCATGGGGAGGCTGCCGCACGCAGTGTGAAGCATTCCAGCCCCGGAAATGCAGCGACCATAGTTTGGCACACACTTCCACTGTGCTCCTGGTGCCTCCATTGAGAGCCAGTGCTGGAGGACCAGGGCTCCACGTCCAGCTAGGGGCCTGCCAGACTTCACCGAAAACCCAGTGAGCCCCGGACTGCTTTTAGCCCTGATCATTTCCTTTGGATTTGGACGCTGGCGTACTCTGAGATGGCTTCCTCGGGCCGGGGGGCAGGTCTCTTGGGTGCCTTGTTGAGGTGGACCATGTCCAGGTCAGCGTAGGTGAGATTGTCTTCAGTGGCTGCCGGCTGGCCGGTCTGGATGCAGGCGTACTCCGACTGCGGGCTCATCTCCACGAACCGGCGCGTGCTCTTCTTCTTCTGCTTGTCGAAGTTCAGGTCTGCGTAGGTCAGGTTGTTGGGATCAGAATCCTGAGTTGGGGGAGGGAGAAAACATGGCGTCAGTAGGGAGCTGTCTCACCTACAGATGGGATATGAAGCCGTTCATCCTGAGTTAAGAGCCCGGTCTGGTGGCTATTGCAGGAGATTGTGGCAAGAGCTAGATTCTACTCCCAGCTCTGCTGCTGACTGATCCTGGGCAAGTCACTTAGTAGCCCAGTGCCTCAGTTTCCCCATCAGTGAACTGGGAATACAACTACTTCATTAACGACTAAAGTGCTCTGAGGTCCTTGGATGGACCCTGCTAGGGCAGCACAAATATGATGTGCTCGAACCTAAAGTCCCACTGCCTGAGACCTGGGGTCTGTGTGGATGAACTAGTGGTGCTGGATCCTGAGACAGGTGTCCGTCCCCCTTCCAAAACCAACCCCTCAACTATGGGCATCAGCTGCCAACTGGCTGGCTTGTTCAGCAGGGAACAAGGACGGAAATGGCTCTGGAGACTGATCTGCCATCCCGGGCAGGGTTAAGGCATGCTGGTGGGACAGTGTGGGGTCAATCTAGCCAGCAGCAGTGCAAGCTGGACCTGTTGCTGGATAACTCGGCTCTAGAACTGTCATTCAGGCTCCTGGGGACACTGGATAGTGTTTCAAGAGGGGCGGAGAAGCACGCTAGTCCACGGGGCCCGAGACTAACCGAGACACTCGCTTGCTGCCTTCAGGCTTCTCCGGGCAACCGAGCTGCCCTATTACCATCCACGGCAAGAATTCTCCCTTCAGTCTGCTGGCGAACGATGCTCGGAGGGAAGAACCAGCTGGCAAAACCGAGCCAGAGACTGCAATCCATTGCACCCCTGGAGATCTGGAGATGCTCCGCTGGAGTCCACAGAATTACTCTAGACTTGCAGCGGTGGAAGTGAGATCATGGTCTGGGCTGCTATGTCCTGAATGGATGAGGTCTAACCAGTGTTCGGCCAGCTGTGTGCCTACGTGAGCGTGAGCATGTGGCCGAGCTGGAGCAGGGGGGATAGAGCTCCGTTCTGATCGGTAAATTACTCCTAGCCGCATCACAGAATGCAAAATAACTCTTCCCTGGCTTATTGTACAGCTGGCTCTAGTCACAATAGATCCAGACTTGTTCTTTGGGGAGGGGTGGGGATGAGGAGAAGAGAAATTCAGTGCAATGGAGGCAGCTTCCCTATGCAATTTAGAGAGGGAGCGAACTGTCTCTCTCCCTTCACCCCAGCCACAGAAGCAGGCTCGCATAGCTGAGATTCTGAGCACTTAATAAACTGCCATGATTTTAGCCTGACACTTGGTATTTTCATGGTATCTTCTGTCGCTCCCCCCTCTCCGGTTCCCCAAAAGAAGCTAGTTGTTACGCACCTGGGGAGCTGTGCTGGAGCTCTTCTCGGGCTCGTGTAGCCTACCGAAAAAGCAACAGAACAGAGTCAAACACTCATTGTATTTTAAAACAGTAGCACTGCTGGGTGACTAAGTTTTGCAGAGGATTTTTCAGGTTCGGATGGTTGAGGACTGACTGACGGTTGATCGCAGGACAGAGGGGAGAACTATTGGATACCAGTGTGTGATAACGGAGAACTAACCGCACTCTGCAGAGTTTATCCTCGCACAACACACAGACGTAAATAGCCAGCTGGCCATAGGATGAAGATTTGGATTCCCCCAGGCTGCCTGTGTGGGGCATGGACAATAAAGAACAAGTGGCAGGTCTGCAGCTCAGTTAATGAATGTGAGGGCGTACGCTCGGCCAGGAACCTCCATTCAGCAGTGCTATGGGAGAACCATCTCCAGTGACGTCTGCTTGCTGGCTCGTAACTGTTTGTACAGAGAGCGACTTCGCTGAGCCGTCTCTGGGTGGTCACTCTCGAACAGTCGTGTGCTGTAACAGGCTGAGTCATGGCTCATGAGCTACTCTTGCCTTTACAATGGCTCTGGGGTATTCGACCCCGCCATGTCACTAGAGCTAGAGACCAAAGTCTCCATAGCATGGTTCTCCTCTTCCATCCACTAGTGACTGAGCATCACATCAACCGCCATGTACAGGCGAAGAGCTTTCAAAGTGAAGTGAAGACCATCCTAAACCATAGGGATTCAAGTTACAAACTTGGAATCTAGCTAAAACTTGACCCATTTCATCCCTGGTGTCAACACTTTGACTTCATTAGCTCCTGTGGCTTTAAATTCCCTCACTGATTACCCAACAGTTCAATGAAGAAAGTGGAGATCGGTGCTTACCTTACAGAAGGGGAGCTTTTTCCTGTTAAAAAAGAGAAACACAACTTAAAAAACCTTACTGTAATAATCCCTCCTCCCCACAGCATTTCATGTTAGTTTATATTGTTTTAGCTCCTTTGCACACTATTTACTTTTTTTCTAACTTTTTTGGTGGAAGTTGCTAGATCAGGTTTTCCAGAAACCCAGTAACAGCAACTTCCTGCAAACTCTGCTGAACGTATTGCAAAGCTCCTTTCCTTTCATTGCAGGACAAATCTTTGTGGGTGGAGTCTAAACCTTTCCTATTTTAGGAGTGTCTTTTGCAAGACACAAATTGCATCAAATACAATATTACGGACAGCCTGGAGGGTTTCAGAATGGGGCTGTTTTATGAAGTTGAACATGGCAGCATGCTAGAGGAATGATGGGAAAGGAGTCAGAAGCCAGTAACGGTATCAGAGTTCTGAGAAGGTCTTATTGCTCTTGCTGTTTAAAATGTTATCAGATCCCCTTGATGAGATTATCCCCTGGTAATTCACCTCCCCTCCCCTCTTATTTTTGGGATGAATCTTCCAGTGCCTTCCAGGCACAGTACTGGCAGCTGTGATTCCTCCAGCAACTGGCAGAAACTAGAGGGGGGATGGTAGCAGTGAGACTTTTCCCATTTAGCCTTCCATCAGACAAGAGGGACAACCCTACTGAGAAACCCTGAGATCACAACCAGTGCTGATGTTTCAGTGATGTATTAATGGGGTGCTGCATTGTTAGGCAAGAAGATACTGCAACAAACCAGTGCCTGAAACACCCTGAACTTACAACAAATGTACAAACACGCCTGCATCCCCACACGGGCTGATCTGGACCCTGTACAATCCCTTGTTGGACTAGCTGGTTGCAGCACCTGGAATGAGGTCTTTAGTTCACGACCGGGCAGAACCAGTGACGTTTATAGGAGTGGTATTCCCTCCAGGCTGGGAGTGGAACAAGTGGTGCAGCTGCACTGGTCCTTCCCACAGTGCAATGCTGAAGTTATCCAAACACCTGCTCCTAGCAGCTGTACTGGGCTCTATGGGATAGGTGCTAGAATCTATGGGATAGTGTTAGAATCTTAGTAGTACCCATATGTTCTAATGCATGGGAGTGAGAGTGTCTCCATCCAAAATGGGGTTGCCCCATGGACATGCTAAGCCCATTGCCAAGACAAACACTGCAGCCCATCCTTTCATGCAGTCAATGCTTTCCTTGCTTGGTGTCCATACAGCAGTGCCCTCTAGAGAGGGCGTTAAACCAAGGGCCCTTTTACTCCTCATCTGTCCAGGAGGAAGTCAAATATCCCCTGGGCATTTTTTTTTGAGAGCACTAGTAGAGAAACCTGGTGTCCTGGTCGGCATTCTCCCTCAACTACAGCTTTTAAATTCCCATAACTGCCCTTAGAATCTATAGTCATTGCCCCTACATCTGTCTAGCTTGCATCTTAGTAGAGGGTTTCAGGGTCCCTAGAAGCTATACAGAACTAAACGAGCAATTTAAAGAAAAGAATACAAAGTGTGACACACATGATTTCCATAATGCATACCTTAAATCTATTCCAGTGGCTGTTACCCTAAAGCTATAACTGACTTTTCCCTATAGCTGTGAGTGAAATTCTCTTCCACTTTCCCCAGGTGAACGCTAACCAGTTCGGTTCATCCCATCCCCCCTGATGCTGGTGCGTTTGTAAAGCACTGCCTGCGTGTATGGGAAGAGAGTGATCTAGCCAGGGCACCCCTTGGCAGGCACCCACAGGAAATCATTCATTTTTACCTTTGCGCTGTCGTACTCTGATGAGATAGATGACGGCGATTACCAATACAACCAGCACTGCACAAACCACTGCTACTGCTATGTAGATCTTTTCATCTTCAGATAAGTAATTACCTGTAACGAGAGAAATTCAGAGATCATAGGAGGCCAGTGTCAGAATAGTCAAACAGAAAAACTCCTCGCCAGACTGAGTGAGTTAAATGCAGAACATCTGGGTGTATATTTATAGATAAAGGTGAGCTAGGCCTCAGGAGCCTAAGGGAGTTAGGAGCTCAGCTCATGGAAATTCAGACTCCCTTTGGCCTCTTTGAGAATCTCAACCACAGCTCAGGTCTGAAGTTTGGTAGAAATGGGAACTTCCCCGGAGTTTGATTGTGCAGACCGGGGATTCCTGCTCATAGCTGCTGTAGAGATGACAGGCCTGTTCTGAAGGAGAGCTCTGTGCATCTTGAAAGCGTGTCCATTTCACCAACGGAAGTTTGGCCCAATAAAAGAGATTCCCTCCCCCACCTGGTCTCTCTCAGGCCTAGTCTGTGGGGTTTAGGGGAGGATTCGGAATCCAGTTCGCTGGGTGCTCTCAGGTGTGTGGATATAGTTACTGCAGTTGGCTGAAGTTTTTCTGGCAAACAGTGAAGTCACCAAAACGTGTGTGTGGTTGGGTTCTTTATACCAAAAAGACTTGTGAATTCAGGCCAAATTCAGCAAATCTTTCAGTGGAAACAACTAAAATGGCTTGTTTTGGCCATTTCAAAGTCCAAACTTGGCTCTTGTTTTATTTTGAAATGGTGTTTTGTTTAGATGTTTAGCTAAAGTTTTGTTTTACATAGAAAAAAGGGTGAGACACCCAAAACAAACTTCCATTTTGGGTCAAAATAAACAGTGTTTTGAGGGTTTTGGTTTTTTTAAAATTTTTGCCCCTGCAGCAAAAAATCCATTATTTGGTCAGCTCTAATAATGACCAGTCTCAGCCCATCTGCTGAGCGTATCTAGTGAAGACCAGCAACTCCAAGTTAACGTGTTTCCCATTGGACTGTTCCATAGCTATAGAAAAGGGGCGGGGGAAGCCTTTGGGTCTTGGTATAACTTCTGGCAGCACTAGACAGCAATCATTCCCCCCCCCAGAATGGCACAGCACACACTATAACTGTTCATCTCAAGCAACAGTGGCTGGAGAGGAATATGGGAGAGACCCTTAACCCACAGATGCACACCGTGTAGAGGTTAAGTTATGTCTTGGGATACCAAGGAAGGAGGAAGACTCAAGAGGCAAGTGATCAGCTGTGCAGAATGTTCATAGTGAAACCTCTGACAGGCTGAACGAACACTGAATTCAAGCCCCCAGGCAACACACAGGGGCTGGTTCATCCCAAACCAAACACATGGGTTCAGTTACTCAACTGAATCCTGCTGCGTTTGCCCAGCTCTGGCTGGCAGCTGTTTGCATAAGATACTAGCTGGCCACGTGGAACCTCATCCTCAGCTCTGCAGGAGTGACCATGTCCGAGCCCCTCTCCAAGGGACAGTCACGCCCCTGCAGGGCTGCTGAGATGATCTGCCCTGGGCACAGAGTGCAGCCAAAGTGATACTTCCTGCCCTTAACCTTCCCCCTCCCGCTCCGCCCCCGGGCCCCAGGAGAGCAGAGCTGAGGGATCATCCTGGAATAAAAGAGTGGCTGTTACACTGAGGGGCTCCCCTGGCGGAGATGGGCTAATATGGCCCCTGGGTTCCGCAGACCAGACCTGGCATTTCCCAGCAGTGCGGGGGGGTTCGACTGCACATTTACCTGGAGTAGGAGTAGGCCACCCCCCTGCCAGCAGCTACGGCAGCTCTTTCTGGAGGGGCCCAGTGAGAAGAATCAACCCAACACCTGAACCCCCACCCAATGTACCCACCTGGCCAGTCACCCCCCCACTGCACACCCTGGTGCACCTGGCACTTCATTTTTGTTGGGGGCAGCGATCCCTGGGGTAGAACAGAAATTTAAATAAATAAAAAAGATATAAATTATGGAGATATACCTATTTCATAGAACTGGAAGAGACCCTGAAAGGTCATTGAGTCCAGCCCCCTGCCTTCACCAGCAGGACCAATTTTGCCCCAGAACCCTAAGTGGCCCCCTCAAGGATTGAACTCACAACCCTGGGTTTAGCAGGCCAATGTTCAAACCACTGATCTATCCCTCCACCCATAAATTTCTCCCTCTTCTCCCCCCCATCACCCTAAAATCCGCAGCCCCTCCAAACAGGTGTAGTAGGTCTCAACCCAGGTCCCACTTTGCTGCAGTCTCGGTGGGAAGCGCAGCTCCCCGGTCAGTGTCTGGGCTGAGCTAGGTTTGTTCCCTGCCCTGGTACCAGCCCCCAGTGGGGAGGGGCATGTGGCTGGGATGGGAGGAGAGCAGAGCTGAGCGATAATCCTGGAATAAAAGAGTTGCTGTTACACTGAGGGGCTCCCCTGGCGGAGATGGGCTGAAATGGCCCCTGGGTTCCGCAGACCAGACCTGGCATTTCCCAGCAGTGCAGGGGAGGGTTCGACTGCACATTTACCTGGAGTAGGTGAAGTGGGACCTTTGCCTGGCTCAGGAGATGGCTGGGAGAGTCTCAGCGTCGCGTTGGCACTGACGGGGGGCTGGGAATCGTGCACAACCCGACAGGTGAACACGGACTGATTCCTCTGCTCAGTTGCGTTGACCTCCAGGGAGCTCTGGAGCGTGTATGTCCCGTCTGGATTCTCAGCCAGGGGGGAGGGTTTTCCCAGATTCGTCTCATTTCCATTCTCTAGCCAGGTGAGACTCGCGTCCTTCGGGTAAAACCCCTCCGCGCGGCAGGTGAACGTCACAGACTCGTTCAGTGCGACGGGTGCCGCTGGGTCAGTGCCCACTCGCAGCCTGGGGGGAACTGAGAACACAGATATCCTGCGCTCGGCATCTACAGACATTCTCCTTTTCCTGCTGAGTTACAGGGAAATTCCGGGGCTGGACAGACTGACCTTCCCTCTGACCCCATGTCCCACTTGCCATGTGATATTTTTCCGAGGGCAAAGAACTTGGCTATCTCTAAGTTGCCTTCCCACGTGTGAGAGCCTTGGCCTCCTCACAGGAATAAACCCAGGGGAAGGCGAATGTTTTAAAAGGAGCAGAATGCAAAAACCCAAATCTACCGTGTCCCCAATTTCCCTCCCCTTCCCCCTGGAAAACCCCCTGACAGACCCAGCTTGGGACATTAAAATGGAGAGTGGTGTCTTACCAGGGTTTAAACAAAGTCAAACATCTTCCCCACCCTACCCTCCACTGGGCTGCAGTAGGGGATGTGCCAGCCCAGGGCGAAGAGTCTCAAAGTTTTAAGGGCACAGGACAGAGTCCAGATCTGAATCTGGATTTCAGTGACTCCCCTCTTACCCCCCTGACCCTCCACTACCCGGCCCAAAGGCTGAAGGAGCCATCTCTGCCCCTCCTCAGTAGCGGAGCCCCCAATCACCAGCCCCAGCTGGGCTCCTACCTCGCAGGGCATCGCTGAGGTTGTAAGTCGCACGCAGGGGAGCCGGTAAGGTGCTGTGCTCTATCTGACAGGTGAGCTGGGAGCGGGCGTCTCCTGCGGTCAGGCTCACCCCCACGGTGCTGGACATGCTGTAGGAGACGCTCTCGTGTGCAGGGAGAACCCGGGGCTGGGGGGCTGGAAGTTTGGCCCCATTTTTGAGCCAGGTCACAGTGATGTCTCTGGGGGAGAATCCTCCTGACGTGCAGGTGAAAGTCACTGGGGGACCCGGCTCTGCTCTGCTGGGGGGGCCGGACACGGATGGGGCCGACGGTCTGGCTGCAGGGAGAAGTGTTTATCAGCCAGATCCCTCTGTGACTGAGAGCCCCTCCCCCCGCCCCACGGGACCCACCTCCCCACGGGGACAGCCTGAGATCGGGGGAGCCACAGCCCCTGTCCCTGAGCAAATGCAAAGGGCTGGGGTGTAGGGAGGTTAGTCATGGGCAGAGGTGCTGAACAATGTATATAGTGGGGATGCTGAGAGCCATTGAATCAAACTGTAAACCCTGGATAAAATGGAAACCCCTTCAAGCCGAGGTGTGTGTGTGTGTGTGTGTGTGTGTGTGATATCACCCCTAGTTCCAGCACCTATGGTTATGGGTGGGAAATAGCCTCCACTTCTCCCCCAAAAAGCGGGGCTAGATAAGCGCCTTAGACTGCGATCCACAAGAGACCCACGCGAGGCGGGGAGCTACCTGAGCTCCTGGGAGAAGACGGGGACAGGCCTGTGTGGTAGGCCCCAGCCCTCTCGTGGTGATCGGTGCCTCAGTCCAGCTTTCAGGGGGTGCCCAGCTCGACGACGTGATCCACGAATAGGAACCCCCAGCCTGGAGTCCGGCAGCTGAGGCACCCTAGGTGGTTGTGGCGTGAATGAGCCAGGCAGGTGTGTAACTCCCCACACAACAGCTGGAGGTGGTGATGGGGGTGTGTCCCCCTTAGCCTGGGGTTAGAGCGCTCACCTGGGGTGGGGTGACCCAGGTTCAATTCCTCTCTGCCTGAGGGGGAGCTGTTCCACTGTGGATAACTAGTCACGGAGCTAGAGAGAGAGGAGGAGGCTGGAGCCTGCTGGTTTGGGCACCCAGGTTGGAGGTGAGAGCCCAGGGTCCAGATCCCTGCTCCAGTGACTCTCTGAATGCACAATGGGGCAGCTTCAACAGAAGGACTGAGGGAGCCCCCCGGAGGGTCCCTTAGGTTGGGGGGTTAGAGTACTCTCTTGGGGGGGGGAGACCCCTGTTTAACTCCCCTAACAAAGGGGGGAATTGAACCTGGGGTGCGCACATCCAGGTGAGTGCTCAAACCAACAAGTTTAAGGGGAGAGGCGCTGCCTCCACCTCCTTCTCCTCAACTTTGAAGGGGACCCAATACACTGGGTGGTCTCTGAGCACAGCTGCCAGCTCAGCCCCTGCACATGAGGCAGGCAGGTGGGTGCCCATTTCCCCAGTTTGTGAATTGCTCTGGGGATGAGGCATCTGAATGGCCAAGGGGAAAACTAGAGGCCTCGGGAAGTTCTACCCTGAGTTCAGGCGCCTGCAGGGCTTGGGCGTTCTGTGGGTCACAGTGGACCCTACATCTGGATTGTGGTGCCTAAACCCAGCCTAAAGCCCCCAAGTCTGGGGTGTAGGCAGCGGCGGCTCCAGGCACCAGCGCAGCAAGCATGTGCTTGGGGTGGCACCTTGGGGCGGGGCGGCGCTCGGGTTTTTATTTATTTATTTATTTATTTATTTTGGTTCATTGGGGCAGCGCTGGAGGGTTTTTTTGTTTTCACGGTGCGCTCGGGGGGGTGGGACTTCGGGCGGCGCAGCGCTCAGAGGGGTCGGGGGCTGGCACGGTGCTCGGATGGGAGGGCGGGGGCTTGGCGCGGCGCTCGGATGGGGGGGCGGGGGCTTGGCGCGGCACGGCGCTCGGAGGGGGGCGGGGGCTTGGCGTGGCGCTCAGAGGAGGGCGGGGCTTCGGGCGGTGCGGCGCTGGAGGTGCGGGGGCTTGCGCGGTGCTGGGGGGGTGGGGATTTCGGCTGCGCAGCGCTGGGGGGGGTTCGGTGGCGCGGTGCGGCGCTCGCGGGGGGGGTGTACGGCGGGGCGGCGCTCTTCTTTTTTGCCTGGGGTGGCAAAAAAGTTAGAGCTGGCCCTGCGTGCAGGATTTACAGTTTAGTTCAATGGCTCTCAGCACCCGCACGATACACATTGTTCCAGCCCCCCGGTGCCTCAGTACCCTTGTGAATCTAGCCCCAAATGCCTCATGACTCATTCATGTACCCGAGCTCAGGCTGGGGCACTGAGCTTCAGGAGAAGGAATTAAACGAGTGGGGGAGGGCAAAGACCCCCCCCCCGGATTGCGTGTGGGTGCAGTTCAGTTGTGCACACAAGGAGCAAACTAGGGCTGGATGCTCCTGTGGGGCCTCCCCCCAGCTCTGTACAAGGCAGGGGAAATGGCCCCGCAGGTGGGATTCGAGTCCCAGCCTGGTACACTGGCATCACTGGGGTGATGCCCAAATCAGCCTGCCAATGCCAGCAGCACCTGCATGTTTGTAGGGGAGGATCAGGGAGGCACTAACCTGTCTCCTCCCACCAGGCCCCCCTCCTGGGGCTCATCGCAATGTGAAGCCATCTTCAGAGGGCCAAGGTAGGAACAGAAATGGAGATTTTTGCCTGGTGCCCAGATCCCCCGCCAGGCCCACCTGTCATGGGGCAAATCTACACCAGGCTGCTTCAGCGCCAGTCTAGGCGAGTCCCATGGGAAGCGCAGCTCCCCGGTCAGTGTCTGGGCTGAGCTGGGTTGTTCCCCGCCCTGGTACCAGCCCCCGGTGGGGAGGGGCGTGGGGCTGGGGGGAGCTCGCACTCACCGCTCACAGTCACGGCCGTGCCAGCACCGGATCTGATCTCCTCTTCGCCTCCCAACCCCGTCTTAAACTTCACACAGCGATAGATCCCGGCGTCCTCGGGGCGGGGGTCACTGATGCGGATGGTGAAGTCTGTGTCAGAGCCACTCACAGCCCGCGTCACCCGGGGGAATGATCCCTTATCTTCATAAACGAGCTGGCGGCCACTGCCCGAGTCCTTGAACCACTTCACGGGTCCTACTGGAACCTTCCCAGTCACAGAGCAGTTCAGAGTGAGAGTCTCTCCCGCTGACACCGACTCGGCGCCCTGGGGCTGCAGCAGCTGGAACTCCTGGGCCCCGGCCCCTGGAACAAAACCAACCATCATCCAGCTCTTTCTTTTATTCGACACACTCCTTGCCCCGGGGGCAGGACACAGCCAGTGACTCTATTACAGGGGGTGACCTTTAGAGTAACATGCAGCACAATTCCTCCCGTGTCCAAGGGCTGAGCCCATCACGTCTCCTTTCAGCAGGAGCTTACAGCATTGCCCTGCATTATAGCAATGCCCAGAGCCATCTCCCCATCGCTCTGGGGCTGAGCTGCTGCCTGCAGACGAAAGATATGGTCGAGCTTAAAAATACCGACCAGGTTTATCAGCGTTGACTGAAAATAGCGGGGCTGGGCCAAATCCACTGGCCAATGCCCCAACCAGGGGACTCTGGGCCTGTTGGTATCACACAAACAGTTCCCATCTTCACTACCCAGGTGATAGGCACCTTATATTTACCCTAAAGAGTTACACACCTTCAGAGTCTGTACCCCTTTAAATTGCACACACAAGGAGGTAGAAATGTCAGTCTAGACAAACCAGCACAACCACAAATTGTGGATTATTGCCCTGGAGAAACTAACATTTAGTCTTACATTTATATGCATGACTTGTCTTTGGGTATCTAAAAGTGCCTTATTCCTTACCATACAATCCCAGGTGGAGATGGCTTTATCTCTTACTACCTGTTAGGTCATGGTGTTTTCTTGTTTGTTTGTTTAATTAATTAATTAATTAATTGTGTGTGTGTGTGTATATATATATATATATAATATGTATGTGTGTGTGTGTGTGTATATGAGAGACAGGAACCCACAAAACAATGGAAGTTACAGCAGTGCTACAGCATCACAAATTCTTCTGTATATTACTGATAGTCATTACTTGATTTCATTCAAGTAATCCCCCTGGGCTGAGATGTGGTGGACATTCCTGGTCATGATCAAAGAAGGGATCTACAGCACTGAATACACTCCCAACCCAAAACATGGCTGAGTAATTGGGCTGGGCCACCTTGAAAAGTTTCAGTGGTTCCTCGCAAGGCCTGTCAGCAATAATCCCAGCCTGATATATGGGGGGCTGGTTTGGGCTTTGCCCTAGTTCAGGGGTGGGCAAACTATGGCCCGGGGCCATATCCGGCCCGGGGCCATATCCAGCCCTTCAGATGTTTAAACCTGGCCCTCGAGCTCCCGCTGGGGAGTGGGGTCTGGGGCTTGCCCGGCTCCACGTGCCATGGCTCCGCGCGGCTCCCGGAAGCAGAGGCATATCCTCATTCCAGCTCCTATGCGTAGGAGCAGCCAGGGGGCTCTGCACATTGCCCCCGCCCCAAGTGCCGCCCCTGCAGCCCCCATTGGCCAGAAACTGCAGCCAATGGGAGCTGCAGGGGTGGCGCCTGTGGACAGGGCACCATGCAGAGCCACCTGGCCATGGCTCTGTGTAGGAGCCAGAGGGGAGACATGCCACTGCTTCTGGGAGCTGCTTGAGGTAAACACTGCCCAGAGCCTGCACCCCTGACCCCCTTTTACCCTCTGAACCCCTCAGTCCCAGCCCAGAGCACCCTCCTGCACCCCCAACCCCTCATCCCCAGCCCCACCCCAGAGCCTGTACCCTCAGATTGGGCCCTCACATCCCAACCCCCTACCTCAGCCCAGAGCCCACTCCTGCATCCTGAACTCCTCATTTCTGGCCCCATCCCAGAGCCCGCACCCCCAGCTGGAGCCATCACCCCTCCCACACCCCAACCCCCAATTTCGTGAGCTTTCATGGCCCGCCATACAATTTCCATACCCAGATGTGGCCCTCAGGCCAAAAAGTTTGCCCCCCCCCGCCCTAGATGTTAGGTAGGTGTAGCTTCCATCCAACGCCCATTGCCCAGTTATTTATACTCTGCTGAAACTATTCCATTTAAGGTCCTCCAGCCCCCAGTTGTACAGGTTTGAGCTCAGTGCAGGAGGGTATCTTGTGTGGAGAGTAGTTATGTCACTTGAGTTACACCTGCTGTAGCAGGTCTCAGCCCCACATGTTCTACCCAGAGGTCTGAATGGTGAAGGGTGGGGGGGGGGAGATTCTTCCAGCCACCACATCCCTCCCCCCAGCTCCTGTTGCCCCCAGTCTCTGTAAAGGGCTCCCATGAAGAGATGTCCTCCTGGCTCCAAACTCCGCAACAGCAGTAGCAGTGCTGCTGAGTTACTGGTAAACTCCCTCCTGCAGGACGGGGAGGAGCGGGAGTGAGGTGCCAAGCTGGAGAGTGACCTCATCCTGGTAACGAATGAGACATCAACAGAGCAGCCAAACTGATGCCATACAAAGTGCTGCCAAATGCAAACTAAAGAAAATAATTGTCTCCTAATCAGGCAGTTAGTCACCTTACGGGTGTTTTTTGTAACGATATTAGGAAAATAAACTCCAAACAAGTGTGACTTTCCTGGTGACTGTTTAACGTGATCAGTAGAAATGGCTGGGGTTACAGTTAGAGGGGATGTAAGACTCACTTTCGTACTGACCTTTTCTTAATGGGTGACAATGTTCTCAGCTATACTCTCCTGCCAATCCCAACCTGGCTCTGATGCTGCAAAGAAACTAGTTTAACACAGGGGAGGTCTATTCCTTTCAGTGGATCTCGTTAAACTTCTTAATTGTGTAATGAATGCCCAGGGTGGGCACCTTAGAAATGGATCTTGTAACAACAGATGCTGGTTTTACTTGTGAACCACGTGGCATTTCCTTCATGGGCCTGACAGTCCTCTTCCTCCCAAGAACTCCATTGCATGGCTCTTAAATGATACCGGCACAAGAGAGGCGACTCAGGCCCCTTATCTCTATGGTGTAATTGCTCTAATGATTCTGTGCTCTGTACGGAGCTTCTTTGCTCTTAAGTTTATATAGGGGGAGTATAAAATACTCCTGCTCACTGGAAACTAAGCCAGTTGGGGTTACACCAAAACTTTCACTGGGACACCCTGATTAGACCAGTTGTGGTAGCATGGAGTCCCGGGCCTGCGTCACGTACCATTGACTTTGTGGCAGTACGTGGGCATGGAAGTCCCTGCTAGAGGAACTGGCAGCAGGGTCAGACCCTTAGCGAATAATAATAATAATCGTTAGCATTTACAGCGAGCTTTACAATTCCAATGCCCTGTACAGAGATTAATGTATTGATCCCTACGTTAGCCCCATGAGGCAGGTTGGTGTGATCTCTTCTCTATCCGCAAAAAGGGCCATTTAAAAAAACACCCCACAAACTTAAGAACATAAGAAGGGCCATACTGGCTCAGACCAATGGTCCATCTAGCCCTGTATCATGTGTCTGACAGTGGCCAGTGCCAGATACTTCAGAGGGAATGAACAGAATTGGGTAAGTGATCCAACCCCATCATCCAATTTCAGCTTCTGGCAGTTTGAGGCTTAGGGATACCCCAAGTATGGGGTTGTATCCCTGACCATCCTGGCTAATAGCCATTGATGGTCCTATCCTCCATGATCGTAATTCTTTTTTGAACCCAGTTATACTTGTGGCCTTCACAACATCCCCTGGCAATGAGTTCCACAGGTTGACTGTGTGTTGTGTGAAGTACTTTCTTTTGTTTATTTTAAACCTGCTGCCTGTTAATTTCCTCAGGTGACCCTTAGTACTTGTGTTCTGTGAAGGGGTGAATGACACATCCCTATTCACTTTCTCCACACCAGTCATGATTTTATAGACCTCTATCCTATCCCCCCTTAGTCGTCTCTTTTCCAAGATGACAGTCCCAGTCTTATTAATCTCTCCTCTATGGAAGCTGTTCCAGACGCTGCATCATTTTTGTTCCCCTTCTCTGCATCTTTTCCAATTTTAACGCAAGAGACAAACTATTATAATTAATACAAATACAAGAATAGGTCTTATTTCCTGCATTTAAATCTTTATCTTTACTTGGCTTCTATTGAATTCAAATACTGAATCTTAGACTAGCAGACCTGGGTAGCACCACTTGGCACTAAGCAGATGTGATATTTATGCCAATTCTTCCCAATTAGCCAGAAGTTACTACCATTCCCTGCTAATAGGCTAAGTCACTTCCCTAGAAGACATCCCAATAAAGCAGTTTCCCAATTAATCCGAGTATGCTGTATTAGTTAATGCAAGTGGGCACTTTTGCACAGAATTCTCCACCTTGTGAGCCTGAGTGCTCATTTGCACTTGCCTGCCAAGGCTGTGGGTGTGTGTCCACATGCATGTGCAGAAACCAGTATTGGCACTGGTTAACTATGTGGGAACTTTGTCTGAGGTCTCTGAAAATGTCCTGAACGTTCCAATTTACCTTCCAAAGGGAATAATGATGATGATAAAGCAGCCTCAGATGAAACTTCATTGTTACCCTGACCTGTCGTGCTCAGCTGACTGAAACACTGCCTGGTTATCTAAAGTAAATTAAGTGCTGCAATACCTAGGCAGAATAAGGCAGGCAAAGTGAGCGCTCAAGACCACGAGAAATAATGAAAAGTGCTATAGTCAAGACCTGTAGAAGCAGCAGCAGGAGGAGCAATATAGGTAGAGATGCTCTGTAACCTATACAGATATTTGATGTATTAATTTTGGCAACACTTGTCATGCCAATATAGATATTGAAACTGAACTGGACAAGATTTCTATCCAGGCCATTGCTTATGGTTACATTTTTAAACGCTGCATGGAGGGAAGTGTAATATAGTTGCAGAGCTTCTGTGGATGTTAATGGCACTCACAGCTAGAGTAAATCACTGCATACCATATTATTATTGGGAGTTAATAGAGGGCACTGTAACAAATGGTGTTAAGTTTAACCAAACGTGTAAATAGATAGTGCTTGTGGAAATGCTTAGTGTTAGCTGTGATGCACTTTTTTAAAATGCTGAGCATTTCTCTGGTAAGCTCTCTTCTCTTTGCCTGAATCCAATAATAGCCTTTAGTGCAGCAGCTGCATACAGGGTATATCCCTGCCAGAAAATTAAAGACTTGGACTCAATATTGCCCTGTGAAGAGTTCCCTTTGCATTGCTCCAGTGGTGCAAAGGGA